TATTTGTGTATGTGTATTTGTGTGTGTGTGCAATACCACATATGATCATACACTTCGTACTTATTTTGATATTGTATTTTTATATTCATTTTATGTCCGACCGGATTTCAGGAGCAAGAAGTTCCTTTTGTTGCAACGGCTATACGCAAGAAGGGTAAGAAACGGACACCCGAGGAAATGAAAGCAGATGAAGAAGAAAAGGCAAAGAAGAAAGCAAAGCGAGCTGAAGATAAAGAGAAGCGTGAGAAAGAGGCGCTCATCGCTGCTGCTGAAAGGAAGGAAAAGAAACGACTGGAAGCAATAGAAAAGATTGAGAAACGCGCAGCAGAAGTAATTGAAAAGGAGACGAACCGTGGAGAGAGAGACGTCGAAAGAAAACCGAAAAGGCAGCTCACAGCTTAGAAGAGAAAAGACGCCGAGACAGCACCACTTGCTAGTAGGGCAGCCCCGATTGTGAGAGCTGCTCCCAGGCCCCCTTTGACTGAAAAACAGGAACAACAACGGGGGAAGTACAAAAAGCTGTTAGAAGACTGGAACGTCAGTAACAATATAACCGTTAAGCTTGTGTATGAATTCGACATTTTAGATCATATGCTGGGGAGCCGCACGAATGCCCACACACGACAAATCAAATCACGCCTTGACTTTATGCAGCTGGAGAGAGATACAGGATCAGGTCACGTTGATGGAGCAGCAGTTCTGATTGTACTCATGGAAGATGTCTTGCCCAAGCTACAAAAGTGGCTGAATGCCAATCTCCGGATGCAAAGATCCAAATATCCCACTTCAGTTCGTTTGCTACAGGTGCACGAGTGGGAGTTTGTTGCATTCATTGCCGCTTTTGGACTGTTGGGACTCACGCATGAGGTATGTCTAGATATAATGAAGCATTGGTGTCAAGATAAAACGGGAATCGGGGAATGTATTTTGACGAATTCGAGATACAACACTATACTCATAAACTTGGTGGCTTTCAACCAGGCAGACCATACACCGAAACGGGACTGTGTTCAATATATAAGAGAGTACGAAAATGAGTTGTTTGGGAAGAGCCTCAAGATTTTCTTTATCGAGTATGCTTGGCTAACACTTGACGATGAGCAGTGTGGATCCCGTGCTAAAGATATTCCGAAGAAGAGTAAAGTAGACCGAAAAGCAAAGACCTGGGGTTTCAAAGCAGATATGGTTGCTGATGCTGTCTACTCAACTATAATTGGTGTGCGGTACCATGAACGAGGCTACAATCAAAACAGTGCTGTAAAGGATCTGTTTGAACGCATCAATTGCACGTACACAGAATCACGCCATAAGGGGATGGCAAAGGTATGCTGTGAATTACCTCAGAGATATATTTGTGAGTTTCATCGCTGTATATCATTCAACCGCTGTATATCATTTAATGTAAGTGAGTTATTGATACCTTCCGATATTATTTTCAGTAGGTTACTGCGGACAGAGGATATGGCAACGAACAGCTGTGGAACAGTCTAGCTGATAGGGGACTTGGATCGATGCTGATACTAATCAGCAACCGATACACCGGCCATCCATGGGTTGGTGCCAGCAGCAAGGGTGCCCATATGTATCCAGCTCAATTTGTAGTTCCGGACGAGCCTTGCTTGGGAGATCGTATTTTCGCTGCAAGTAAGTTGATTAAAACAAGCGTGGGTGCTGCCGTCAAAGAGATGAATGCCTTTGCCTACGGCATCCGACAGATGCCGCGCAAACGCGGTAACCACGATACTCCGACTGATGTGTTACGTTTCATATCGATAGGGGATGGTGATGCTAGTGATTTGAAGGGTGTATACGTGTGTGTCCGCAGGCCAAATCCGAAAGATGAAATAGTTGACGTCACATTATTCTGGCTAAATACTAATCGCGTACGATCAGAACATATTTTACGTATGGAGGACACACTCAGGCAAGTGGTGAATGTTGAAACTTGTGCGCAGCGCTCTAACGAATGGTTCAAGTGTAGATATTTCAAAATCACTGGGACTGCCGGGCACATGAGAACTATTCGTGATACATCTTGCCGTAAGTTTTTATTAAAGCCAAGAGGTGTCAATACATCTGTCAACCCCATCGTCGCGTTGCCAACCCCAGATGATACAATACCTTCCTTGTATACGCCGGCCGAGTTCAATAAAACTCAGGCTAGTGCGCAAAGCTATATCTCATCCGATGGACACGGACGAACAGTTGAGTGTGAGCCAAATGTGAACGATTCTACTGGAGATATAGAGACGATCAAAGGGTCCGTTGTAGTAGCGATTCTGACTCCGGTTGGGAAGATGAAACTACCGCCCGTGTAGAGGATCCAGATGTGATCGACATTTTTTACATCAACTAGTCTCTTCCCGCATTCGAACCCAAAGTATGTATGAGTATCACGTCTATTTTCCTATGTATATTTATCTTATGTACATATTTAAATAAAAGGTTAAACGTGTTTTATTTGGTTTCCTTCATTCAGATATTAGCTACAGAACTAGAAACGAGAGCAGTTGCAAACAAGCTGGTGGATGGGTGGCTTGGGCGCCATTACTCTACTGAGGCTATGGAAGAAGGATCATTTAATGATACTTTTATCATGACACCGCTATCCAACGAGCCGTTCGTGATCGAACTTTACGATGTAGGGCTGCTAAGTATGATGAATTGCCCTTAGATTGCCATGTCATCGGGTGAGTGTATCCTTTAATGATGAAGTGAGTTATTCAGTATAAATAGATATAAATGTATATGCGTACCCATAAGTGTACACACACACACACACACACACACACACACACACACATATATATATATATATATATATATATATATATATATATATATATATATATATATATATATCTATATTACTACTATATATATATATACTTATATATA